TACACCAATCATACCGAAATCAATAATTTAATCGATTCAGTCAAAAATCATTTTATTATGTGTTCAGAATTTGATAAAGGCTGTAATTCTTTGTTATATTACCACCTGGGTGGTCTTTTTATACTAGCCAACGGGTCACCCGACAGGTCACCCGTCGGGTGACCCGGGTGGGTGACATTTTTAAGTTGACCCGATTTCCACCCGGGTGACTTATTGTCCACCCGACGGGTGACCCGGGTGAAGGTTTTTAAGACGGGTCAAATCACTAAACCCGGTGTTACGATCGTCATGTGAAAAATTTTCTGCGCCTCTGTCATATGATGATCCTGAGTTATGAACCGTTAACTGTGTTACTCTATTTTTTTTTTCTTTTCTTCTAATTTTAGTAGTATTTTTATAGATTATCCATTTCCTATTTTGTACTCTCTATATACATAGCGTATCCTTATTACTATATCTAGCCTTTTATACATAACTTATAGAAACAAAGTCTTTAGGGATTAGACTCATCGATAAGGTCGAGTTTTGTCTTGGGAGAAGTTCCACTGTTGAGTTATTGGTTCCCGTAACTATTGCAATCGTGTATGAATCGCCAAACTTGGGGATGGTAATAGAGATACCTGAATCTTTTCAATTGTTCTGGTGAACAGAACACATTTACTTATTATAAAAACATTGTACAATAAGTGAGGGAAACAAAGCAATCATTGTAAGGAACAATGGATGGAAGGGTTTTATGGAAGGTGCAAGACAAATAAAGACATTAAAAGATAGTTCAACAATTGGATAGTGTATTAATTTATGTAAGTGATTCATGTATTTAAAGACATGATTTTTACCTTTAATAAAGTTTCTTCAGACTTTGATCTCTTATATACTTGACTTGTTATAATTAAATTATCAAATTCTTACCCTGATTCCTTGATTAAACCATCATGAATACATCTTTACGGCATTATTTTTGATTAATTATTGTGAACCTACATTCATGGCCTTATTAAATTACTGATTTTATTATTATTTATATATGCTCCGTGCTTGGCTTTATTATTAAACTCACTTAAAAATTGAATCACATCATTATTAACTCCAATTTAATTAAATAAACTACTATGCTTACTATATAAATCTCTATTACATTACCCTTTTAGTACAGTACTTCCCGATACCTTTATTGTTAAAACAGCTTAACGATCTTATTTCTTTATTAATCTATTATATCATATAATTATTACAATTACAACTATCTATCTATTGTTGTACCTAATCACTTCCCTATTAACCCATAACCATTCCAACTCTATATAAAGAAACCTTATTTCCTAATTAATCCTCCCGTTGTTTACTATTGCTGATCTAATTCTGACCCAATTACTGACACTCTCCTGAAATTACAATAGTAACATTTGGTGCCGATTGTGTAGAAATCCCTGCCTGTCAGTTTTCAGGATCATATAAATAACTTTGAACAATATACAAGGAATACTACAAAACATGACCATCATTATTATTTATTTGGCAAGACACCTTAAACTATTAATTACTTAACTCAATATTACTGTGACAACTCTTGCTCTGTTTGTTACTCACCTCAGCTTCTTATTCCACGAATTCAACAATTTTGGCTTTGGTTTAACGAATTTTAACTGGTTACAACTTTCTCTCAACACACTATACGACATTTTGAAAAGCTTTTCCACTTCAATATTGGTCATATACCTGATCATTTGTTACAGGCCTTTATTTTCAGCTTTCAGTATGAAGGACAACCAGATGACTATCCTACTCTTCTCAACAAATTCCTTACTGCCTATCAAGAAACAGATCATTTTAATCTAGATACCTACAACAAAACCTACGGAAATAGTAACACTTTCACAGATAAAGCCATAAATTAAAATAATAATTGTCTCTAAGCTCCTCTTCTCATCAATCCTAATGATAATGACAATTAACAACCTCCTGTCATCCAAAATAACTAAGTTAATCTCCAAAATGACCCTATGACTTTCTTAGCCCATCAAATAGGCAACCTCATCCTTCAAATGCAAAATAATCTCACTTCTCAGATCAACATTCCCACTATTAACCTTCCTGCTCAAAATTGTGAACTCAATCTGGTCTCTTATCCTGACTTTTTCGACAGAAAACAAGACCTTATTACATAGTTGAAAGACATTGAGAAGGTGTTCAAAGCTAACCAGGTTCAAGATAATCGCAAGATTCCTGTTGTTATTCCTCATTTAAAAGGAACTGCCACTACTTGGTAGGTTGCTGCCAAGACTATTCAACCTGCCATTGACCATTGAAATGATCGTTATCATCAAGGCCAGAGTTGTTGCCCACATTTTGTTGCCTAATTTAGGACTCCTGCCCTTGAGAGCAAATGGTTTGCTCAATTAAGCCAATGTAAACAAGGTCCCACTAAGAAAGTTGACTTTTATCATATGTTCATTGAGGAGCTTCTTCAGCATGTTGAATTGGAAGAACATCATTATTTAGGAACTGTGAAGGCCCAGATGTTTATTAATGGCCTTAGATCTGAGCTCTCTACTGTGGTTTTCCCCTTTATGCCCAATACTCCCAATACTCTAAACACTACTTATGAACATGCTAAGGCATTTAAGAATTCATTTAAACAAAATCCCTTGTATCATAACTCCTATTTGATGACAATTCTGCATATTTCATCTTATTTCGATTTCTAACCCTCTTTCCAACAATCTTTCTACAGTTAGTTCTCTCTTGGTCAGCTCTTCTAAGACTAAGGAAGTTCTTGTTAAGTTGACCAAAGCTATTACCATGATAATGACAAAGTTACAAAACCTAAGAAAACCTTCTGTAGAAACCCTGATAATTGGAATAATGCTCTCCAGTATCCTTGTAATCAGTATAGACAAATAGAGCATTATGCTTGAAATTGTCCCAACCTATTACTTCAAGCTGCTAGAAATAATGTAGCTACCAGAAGCAATGCCATCTCTCTTGGTCAAAATAATGGTGCTCGAAATAACCCTTCGGCAAATAACAATACTAATGTCCCTGCTCAGACTGAAGGGAATGAGACTTAAACATTTTGAATCTTCATATAGACAAAAACGATCCTCTGTTTTTTCTTGCAGAGGATGCTGAAGAGACAGCTTTAAATAAAAGGCATCGTACTGATGAGCTAGTTCCTGAAGGACAAGATGAAGAAATGATACCTCCTAGTAATACTGAGGGGGCTCCTAAAAAGTTAGCATTGAGAGCAAAGTCAGAGAAAAGTGGTATCAAAATGGCTGTACTTAGGAAGAAGAAGGTCGAAGACAATCTCCCACAAATTTCTGCCCTAATCTCATATTACTCTATTATATCGGACGTTCGTGATAAACCTGCTAACATCATGTTGGGTCAGTTATTACAGGTAATCTCTTCTTTCTGCACTGACTTGGTAAAAAGTCTCAAAAGAATAAAAGCTTTGAAGAAAAGGGCCTGAGCATTCACTAATATTCAGCTCACTTCTAAGTCTACCGCCTTATACTATGATGCGACAGTTCACAATAAGGTCATTCACCTTATTGTTGACAGTGGTTCCTCAGGAAGTGTTGTGTCATCACACTTGCTCACTGAATTGGGTATCAAAGTTGAAAGACCCTCTACAGTAAATATAGTTAATGTTCATAGTCAAAGTAAAAAAGCTATGGTGAAATTTCAGACTTTCCTTTTTTTATCAAAGGCATTAAGGTTTCTGTTGATGTGGTCATCACAGATGCTTCATCATATTAGGCCATTGTAGAAAATGACTGGCTTTCAAAAGTCAATACCAATATTGACTATAATACTTTGAAGATGACATTTCAGTGGGATGATAAGGAAGTCGCCATTCTAGTTGAATTCAGAAAACTCTAGCATACCCCTTTTCAAGACAAATTCACCTCTAAAATTACCAAAGTAAACCAAGTTGGAAACGATGATTCAGAAGAATCTGAATCTGAAGAGAAAACTGAGAGTGAATTTAAAAAGAAGGAACTTAAAGACCGTCTTTTTGGGTTCTCTAAGGATGAAGGAGTCATCTTCTGATATTCTTGTCCTTTGGATAATAGGTTGTGTGATTCTTGTGATAAGTCGAGTGTATACTTCAAGATGTCTAAGTATAATGCACAACCCAAAGGGTGTGGGTTAGGTGATGCCTGG